TTAGGTGTACGTGGCTGGCGCCTTAGCCGGTTGAGCTATAGGCGCCCAGCCTCGTTGTTGTTTTTGTTGCTGTTGCAGTTTGGCCAGGGCTGGGTTTGAACCCGCCGCCCTCGGTATATGGGGCAGGCGCCCTACCCACTGAGCCAGGCACCGTCCCAAGTATTACAATTTAATAAGCAAACCACTATATGCAGACCAGTTTTAAGGGTTCCAAACTCAAACTTAATCTCTTGAGTTCATTAAGAGACCCCTCATAGTGATAGCTATCATTTTTATAGCATTTATTTGCCAGAGGCTGTTTGGGCGCCCTACAGGTGTTAGTTCATCTAATTCTCAAAACAATACTGTGAGGTAGAGACTGCTATTATACTCATTGTACAGATAAGAAAATGGAGACAGAGGGAGGTCAGGTAATGTGCCTGAAGCCAAAGAATAGAGTAAGCAAACATGGGTACTAGATTCCCTGGCTCTTAACCACTTGCTAGACTGACTGAGAAGATGGAATTAAAACGTTTCAAAGAATGCCTGCCTTCTTCATTTGGGGAGGGAATAGTTTTCTCAATGGCATCTGCACTATGGACATTTTTCCTGTCCTTCCCAGTCCAGAACTAGTAGTGCCGCCCCTTCAGGTGTCTTCACTGCCCACCTACCCTCCGGTCTGGAGCCCATTCGGCTTCAGGACCCCTCCTCCTCCCTATGGGCTTTAACATTTTTTGAAAATACTGCAAAATTGCCTTTGTTTCCTAGATGGAATGGTTCTAAATTCTGGTGGCCAATGAGTGCTGCGGCGCCCGCCGGGATCCAGTGAGGCACTAAGCTGAGAGGTGGGAGGAGTCAGCGGAAGGGCGAAACGGAGCCCCAGCGGCTGTACGTACCTAGTGAGTGCCCTGCAGGCTACCCGGAGCAGAGCCATGAGCTGGACCTGCCCCCGTTGCCAGCAACCCGTTTTCTTTGGTGAGGCCTGGGCTGAGGAGGGGGAGTAAATGGGACGAGTGTAAGCCTCTGGGTTCCCCAAGGATGCAAGTGTTGGCCAAATTGTGGTCTCAGACACCCTTTTCCACCTGTACGGGCGCAGGCGTGTGGTCTCACACCAGTACTTGCTCCGGTTCAATTTCCTCTCCTCCACTGAGAGCTCTTGCAGGGGAGTTTGGCATGGGGGGAGGGGAGAAGCTGACCTCCCGGAAGACTTTTATGCGTTCAAGGAGCAGTATGGGCCTGGCTGGTTCCCCTAGAGGACTGAGGGGAAAAGAAGGGCGCCCCACGTTTGGCTCCGCACCTTGCAGCTCCTGTCCACATTTTTTCCCCACAGCTGAGAAGGTGAGCTCCCTGGGCAAAAACTGGCACCGCTTCTGCCTGAAATGTGAGCGCTGCCACAGTGTCCTGTCTCCTGGCGGGCATGCAGAGGTGAGGCCTGGCCAGGGTGCACAGCCCCGTGTTTGTTGCTGCCTCCCTGGCATCAACCCCCCAAATTCAACCCCGAAGGCCTACAAAAGGCAACTTCAGCAGCCAACCCCAAGATTACCTGTCAGTGGGCCCATGTCAGCCAGGATTTTTGGAGCCTGAGTTGTAACAGTGGATCCCATGGCTTTGGGGTCTGGGAAGGGAGGCAGGGAACCAAAATTACCTCCTAGCCACTCTTGCCCTTCCTCCCTGACTGCAGAGACAATTCTGGCATGTCAGCCCACCCCACTCTCCCCAACCCCTCAGACCAAGCCAGTGGACAGACACACCTGGCAGGCTGTCTTGGGGAAAGGCCTGTGGGGCATGGCATCTTTTGGATCTGAGTGACCCCTCTCCTCTGCCTATACCTAGCACAACGGGAGGCCATACTGCCATAAGCCATGCTATGGGGCTCTCTTTGGACCCAGGGGTAAGTACCAGACTAGAAGAGGCCAGGGGGCCACAGGGGGCTAGCTTTGGAGGCTCAAGTCTGACCTCCCCTAATCTCTGCAGGGGTGAACATTGGTGGTGTGGGTGCCTATCTGTACAACTCTCCCACTTCCACTCCTGCCAGCACCACTCCCCTCAGCCCCAGCAGCTTCAGCCCTCCCAGGCCCAGGACTGGCCTCCCCCAAATCAAGAAAAGTAAGTGATGCTGGACCTCAGCTTTTCCTCCTCTTCCTTCTCCCAACCCTTCCCCAGGCTAGAGGAGGGAGCAGGGCCAAGTGACAGCCTCATATATTTTGTTTTGGCAAAGTCTTTTCTATCCATGCCCCCACTCCTTTTTTAATATTCTTTCATGTCAGCTGCTGAGTTAAGAGGTAAATTGGGCAGAGGGCATTGTCACTTCCGTTGTATAGGTGAGGAAACATCTAGAGAGGGCAAGTGACCTTGTGCAGTCCCACAGCTAGTCAGAGGCAAGGCTTCAGACCTCTCTCAGAGCAGGACCATGGAAGCACTGATTTATGGTGTGAGGAGTCATTGGAGTGGGGCTAGCTCCTCACATTCTTTAGCTTCTCTCCTTTGGTCCTTGTTCCTTCCTCCCACTCCCTAGAGTGGGCAGTGACACTGTGCTCCTCAACACCTGACACCCCTGCCCTGGCCAGCTCCTATATCAGCTCAGGTTTCCTGAGGATTGAGTTGCTGACAGGGTTAGGCTGGTGGGCACCTGAGCCCCTGAGAGGATGAGAAGGGAGAAGCTGGTCCCTAATGCAGAAAGGGATGGGGGAAGAGGTGGGGTCAGAAAGGGCTTACTTCTGAACCTGAGGAAGGCAGATTCATGGCTTCCTGGATGTGGGGCTCTGGGATGGAAGAGGACAGTGCCATGTGCAGTCAGGCTCTTGGTGAACCCTGCTTAGGCCCTGGCCCCCACCTCAGCCCTACCCAGGGCCTTTTCCTCTTAAAGGCCCTCCCCACATGAAGACATTCACTGGGGAGACCTCGCTGTGCCCTGGCTGTGGTGAACCTGTCTATTTTGGTAAGTGACAATGGAAAGGTTGGGGAGGGGAAACATGGTGGGCAGCAAGGGCCAGGGAGGCAAATCCAAGGCAGCTGTGTCTCCCTTCCCTGCCCCTACAATGGAAGAACTACCCCTTCTCTCTACCACCAGCTGAGAAGGTAATGTCTTTGGGCAGAAATTGGCACCGACCCTGTCTGAGGTGCCAGCGTTGCCGGAAGACCTTGACTGCTGGGAGTCATGCCGAAGTGAGCAAGGCAGGGATGGATGGGTAAATGTTGGGTGGAAGGAGGTCGGAGATGGGAAGAGAGCCAGGCTAAGACAGCTCTCTTTCTCTCTGTGTCCCAGCATGATGGAGTCCCCTACTGCCACATCCCCTGCTACGGCTACCTGTTTGGCCCTAAAGGTGGGCAGCCCCACCCCAGACACCAGGTCTAAAGTATGGCATGTACATGGTCTGTAGGGATGTGTGAGCAACTTCCCTGGTGGTCAAACATATCCCAGGCCCCTTCCATTTCCCTCCAGCTCTAAACCCAACACCCACCAGACCCAAGGCCTTTGGTGATTGGGCTCTCTCATTCAGGTGTGAACATTGGTGATGTGGGCTGCTACATCTATGACCCAGTGGAGATAAAATCCAAATGAGACACTCACAGAAGATGCCACCCTAACTCAGGTTCCTGCCATCCCCTTCTGGTCCAGTGGGAGCTGCAAAATTCTCCAGTCTTATTAGCACGTGGAAGATGAGATCCTGGGGACCTGGACATAGGCTCCATGGTAGGCCAGAAAGTCTAAATTTTCTCTGCTAATTCTTCCCTTTCCCATTCTTATCTGGTGAGAGGACATAGGCTACCCCATTTTGAAGGGTGTCCTCCTGGCCCTCCCATACCCTTTCCCCAGCAAATTGTGGAGCTTCGTGTTACTCATAAAACTTGTGTTTATTAAATCTTAGCATCTCTGCCTTTTCCAATAAAATTTTGGCTCCCACGTCTTCTACTTTTCTTTGAGCATGAAGCCTAGACAGTAGGTTGGAGGATGAGCAATGTAGGGGTGGAGGAAGGCATTGCCCTGCAGAGTGCCTCAGAGGTAGCTGGTCCAGCCCGGAGAACAATGAGGTCTGTCCTCCTGGTCCCCTAGGTCTGGCATTGGAAGCCCCTAGCTGTCCACGGAGTAGACAGCCCTATCATCAATGGACATTCTTGTCTTTAGCACCATCTCTAGAAGAAACACCTTATTCAGTATCTCATTTGGAGCATGATAACAGATCTTGTGCTAAGGTCTACCAAGAGGCTTCATTATCCATTTGGAAGAAGAACAGATTGAGGCCCAGAGAGGGAAAATCACATGCTGAAGATTACATAGCAAATCAATGATGAAGCCAGGATCAGAACCCAGGGCAAACTCAGTGGATTGCCATCAGGGCTGTTCCCACAGTTCATCACCATTGCCCAAACCCAAGGGATACCTTTGTTTACAGAATCCTCCCCAGCCACGAGAGGGGTAGCCAGAATCTCCAGCAGCCCACTGCATTCTGGGAAGTCACCTGTTCCTGGAAGCCAAATAATCAAGGCTAAATGAGCACAAGAAGGGGCACTGGTGGCAACTCCAGCCCTAGCAGAGATGGCCTCAGGCTCAGTCACAGGCCCTGCCCTTCTGCTCTTCTAGCCCCTGCTGCAGAGCTGTTGTGGCAGGCCTTATTCCAGTGCCACTCAGTTCTGGACCTGCTTCATAGGCATCTCTTCCTCCTGAAGACTGGATGGGACACTGAAGATGAAGGAGTCATGAGCAATGATGGGGTTTAATCCCTGAGCCAACCACCCCAGCCAGCCCCATTAGGCTCACGGCTCTCCCCAGCTCTTGGTATACAAACACAAGTGACTCACATACAAGCATGTGTACATTCCTGGTGTATAAGCATACTTGAGTGTACACATATACTTGAGTGTTCACACTCCTGAACATTAAGTATTTATGTACACACACATATGGACTCATGTAAACTTACATGCACACAGTTTACATACTCCAGGTCGTCATGTACCCTGAAACACTCAACCTATGTACACATACATACATGCACCAAGTACACATGTGCAGATGTCTTTCTTTGAATCCTAAGGTGTCAGGTATCTGAGCACCTACATCCACATGCATGTGCTCACATGTACACATAGTCCTGTGCACACACCTCTTTCTCTCCACATCCTGGATGGTCTCTGGCAGTTGTGCCTGCCTTGTCTCTGGCAACAGAAGGGCAGTGCAGGCAGCGAGGAAGGCGATCCCCCCATAAGCAAGCTTGGGCAGTGACAGCCATACTCCATCCAGCAAGGCTGCCAGTGGGGCCAAAGAGCCTCCCAGTCGGCCCACCAGTGAAGTCAGCCCCAAACCCGTCTGTCTGTTCAGGGAAAGAGGATTAAGGAGTCAGGTGGAACTTACACCTACTTAGAGTCATGCCCCAAAGTCTCCCTCCCCGATACCCATTCTCCCTAGACAGCTAGGAAAGCTAGGCTGTCTTACCATTGGTCTTCCTACCCACCCCTATTCCGGAAACCCCCAAGCCAGCACCCACCAAAGGATGGGGCTCCCATTCTGACAGAGTACCAATCAAATACCACTGAAAGAGAAGAAAGTCACCAGAAAAGGGAAGGGGAAAGGATAGTGTGGAAGAAAAAAACTACAGGCTCTGCCATGTTGTTTGCAGGTGCCTAGAAGTCCCCACACACATACACACCAATATCTAGATGAAAGAGCTCTCTTATTTCCAGAGACAATCCTCAAGGTTGGCTCTGTCTCCCAGCCCTGAGTGGGTTGGGAGTAGGCAGGAGGGAGTTCCTGAGGACAATCTTCCTCTAAAGGAGGCTCAGAGAGGTTGTCTGATTTGGCTCTGGGTTCCATAGTATGTAAGATAAAAACTTAGCCTTCTTCAAGACTGACGAACACAGATGAGCCTGATTAACTCTGTATTCTGGGTATGATGTAAAGAATGAATGAGGGATTGGAATGCAGCGTGTATGTAGAAGTATTGGTTGAGACAGAAGACTAACAAGCCCTACCCCCTAGGTCAGTTACCTGCTACCCAGGCTTGCCTCACCTCAGCACTGTAGGATACAATTCAGAAGTGAACAGGTAGGCAGTGGTGAAGGCAGCTTCAGAAAAACCTTTCCCCATCACTGCCAGGGCAGTGCTCCAGGACTTCCTCTCTAGAAGGGACGGGGTAAGCATACGGAGAGGGTTTTGTGGGAGAGCCAAAGGTTTCCTCAAGGGGACATGGAGTATCTTGAGTGGACAAAACGTGAGTGGGCACCTCCCAGAAAAGGTCCTGGGGGAGAGTGGGTGGAGTTCAGGGTGGGTGAGGCCCCTGAGACCCTGCTCACCCGAGGACACCAGCAGTCCAATACCCAAGGCCAGGGTGGTGCCCAACAGTGTTCCGGCCTGTGTGAGGCGGCGTCCAAAATGTCGCACGGACAGGTAGACTAACAGCTTTGAGGGCAGCTCCACGGCCCCGAAGAGCAGCTGTGTCTGATACACGTTCATCCCCAGCTCTGACACATCTAGACTCAGGCCATAATAGGAGAAGTTCACTCCGAACCTGAAAGTAGTCGTGATGCCACTCAAGGGACCTTCCTTCCCATCCCTCTTTGTCTTCTCTTGTCAAGAAGACTTTGCCTTTTAGAGAGATGACCTCTCCCCCTTCAGAGCACACTGCCTAGGACTTTCCCCAATACCAATAATCCCTCCAGAGTGTGCAGCATGTGCCAGAGGTCAAAGTGCCTTTACCCTAATCCTTACAGAAGGGACACTGAGACTCAGAGTGTTAAATAAATAACCTGACCAAGTGCCAGAGCCTGAATTTCAACTTAACACTGCTTGCTTCGTTTTCTGATCCCCTCCTGCCCTCTACAGTTACACTATCCTCATCCTCACCCTTCTTATACTCAGCACCTTCCTGGAGTCAGCTCCTCCCCCATCCCACCAAACCCAAGCCAGCCCCCTCCTTACCACACCACCATGCAGTACAGTGAGATGTGTCGGAGCCTGGGTGTGCGGAACAGGTCTAGGTACGAAGGTCGTTGGACCACTCGTTCCCCAGCAGCCACTTTGTTCAGGGCCTAGTGGGGGAGAAAGTGAGATTGTGACATCAGAGTTGGCTCTGTGCTCTGTGGTCTCAGCGGGGCACATTGCTCAAGCATTAGCATGAGCTCCTCTCTCTCTCTTTCTGTTTCCATTCCTTCTCTCTGCAGTGGTTGAGGTGGAGAGAAGGATGAGACCTGAGTGAGGGAGGCAGGCCACCAGAGCCAGGCAGGATATTCTAAACAGTTTGAAACCCTCCACTTAGGATTGGGGGCTTTACCTACCCTATACTTGTGGGCTTCCCCCCCACACACACACACACATATGTAGGCTCAAACACACATTTACCCTCACCTCCCGGCTCAGGCTGTCCTCACCCACAGGCCGCCCATTGAGCCTGGCACAGCGGAGCAGGTATTTGTGGGCCTCTTCCACGTGGCCCTGGGTAAGAAGCCAACGTGCAGACTCAGGCACCCACCTAGGGGATAGGCAGGAGGCCCTTCAGCCAGAACATCAGCATCCTAAGCCACATCTCCCTCCTGGGCACACCACAGGTAATCAAGGTCCAGGCTCTTTCTCAGGCACTCCCTTAGCCTGGATCACTGTCTCCTCTACAACCCTACCATACGTGACGAACTCTTACTTCTTTTAAGGCCCTGTCCCCATTCCACATCACCAAAGCAGTCAGCCTCAATTTGTGCTTGACTCTGTCTTTGTTTCTCCGTCTTTAGCTCTCTGTCTCTCACTGTATCTATCTCATCTGTCTCTCTGAGTCTATCTTTCAGTACTGATCTTGGTCATTCACTTCCTCTCACTGGTTCTTTCCCTGTCTCTCCATCTCTGTCTTTACCTTGTTCTCTGTTTCTCATTATTCTTTGCCATCTCCATTATATTGGTCTCTGTCTCTCTGTGTGTATATCTCTCTATGTGTGTCTCTTGGTCACTGATTCTATTTCCTTTTCCTTTATCGCTCAATCTCTGTCTTCAAATCTCAGATTCTGATTAATGCTGTCTTTGGTGTCCCATATCTACCAGTCCCAGCTGCCTGCAGTCCTCACCAGAGGCTGAGGATGCCTGGGGCACAAGGCAGGGTGACAGCCAGCAGAAGCCATCTCCAGTCCCGTATCAGATACCCAACCAGTGCCAGCAACATCACGCCCCCTGACCAGAAGGTGCTGCTCAGGACACCTGCCACGGTACGGTGCTCCACGTCCAGCCACTCCAGCTCTGGGCCAGGGCAGGAGACAGGAAGACAGTGAAGGCCAATTTGGCTCAGTCTCACCCTGACAACTGCCATCCTCCAACTCTGTAGTCCCTGTCTGTCCCTTGCCTGCCTCACCCAAAGGCATCACGATGATGGTAAAGCCAGCCAGAGCTGAGCCAGTGAGGGTGCGGGTGATGGCAAACATTACATAGCTGACCGAAGCTGCAGATGCCAGGCCCAGCACCAGGGCACTCACGTAGGCCACAAGCAGCAGACGGCGCCGCCCAAACCTGCAAAGGGGTCATGCAGGGTCAGCTTCCTGTGGAGGGAGGTTCCAAGATAGAGGTAGACCAGGTCTACACCCCCGCTAGTGGGAAAGGGTCCTCCAGCCCATTCCTTGATTGGCCCAATGTCTCATCGCACCTGTCAGACAGATATCCAAAGGCCACAGCCCCCACCAGCACACCAGCGAAGAAGAAGGTGGATGTGGCTCTGTTCAGGCCTTTCTGCTCACACACCAGATCCCACTGCAAGGACAGTCAGGAAGGGGCCTCCTATAGGCACCAGCCCCTTTCCAGTTGGCACTAGCCCCTCCTCTTTAGACCCTGGGGCATTCTGAGGTCAACTGTGCCATTCTAGTACCTCCATACCAGATAATAAAGCCCTCAACTATTCACCCCACTATGGAGAATAGGAGACTGCTCCTCCCCAATCTTGCAGCCTCAGCTCTTCCCAGGGAAGGCCTTGGCTGTGATGGACAGAAATCCTGCTGCCCTCCCCCCCCACCAGGAGACTCTGCCTCCTCCCACACTCCACCCCAGATAGCTTATGTAAATACCAGACCTGGGGCCCAAAAAGAGGTAGGGAGGAAAGGAGGCACTTGGGTTTCTCTTAGTGCAGAAACAGCCTTCTCTCCTCTTTGCCTTAACTCCCTGGAGCTACCTTAGCTCTTTCCTGCCTTAAGCACCTCCCAATTAATGCAATTAATGATAATAATAGCAGCTCCTGTGCACGAGCCCCTTACCACCAGCCATGAACTAAGCTAAATGTTTTATATTCATAGATCCTATCTACACATTGGTAAACTGAGACTCTAAAAGGAAACTAATATATCTAATACCCACACAGTAACCACCCACAGCAATGGCAGGCCCATCCCACTCACGTGTTCCTCACTCATTGGGCTCAAGTACCTCAGTTGCAATGGTGGAGGAGAATTCCGTGTGGTCATACTCCCAGCCCTGAGAGCAGGGCACTGTGGAGGGCTTGCCCTCTGGCTCCTCAGGGGTCTGTCCCTCTCCCCACAACGTGGTATTGGGGAGAGCCTCGGGGTGGGCGAAGCGGAGGCAGGAGCTAAGCGTGCCATCAGGCTCCCGGGGCAGGTGGGCCTCCAGCCATGTGTCCTGGCTGAAGTTAGCAGGGGCGCCAGGCAGGGCACAGCGATGGGCAGGCACAGCAGACAGGAAAATGGGCAGGAGGAAGTGCAAGGGCAGCAGTACTCGGGGCAGTGCCAGCAGTGCCAAGTTCCTCAGCTGGAAGGGCCCAAAGCCGCCCACCTGCTCCAGTAGTTCCTCAAAGCCCATGCTGCTCACCCGCCAACTGTCCCGTTATAGCCTCCCTCTGTGTGTCCAGCACAGCTCAACCTGCCCACCACATGGACCCTTGGACTCTGGAGGCGGGAGTGGAGGGACTGATCAGTGGACAGCCTGTAGCCAGAATCCAGCCCTCAGGGGCTGGCTCAGGACTGGGCCCTCCCTAGCCACCCAGGGCTCCCAGGACCCCTGCCTGTCTGACCTAGTGCCTGGGGGAAGAGCAGTCATGTCTTCAAAGGTCATTGACTCCATGGCTGTGGAGCTTACACATTAGTGCTTAGGGACTAAATAGGGGAGCCTTGGGCCACCATGAAGAGGTAGCTGGGTGAAGGAGCAGGAGATGTCAGCAGCACTCCAAAGATTCCTAAGAAGAGGAGGTAGCTGGGGTGTGGTACCAGCTCTCCCTGGGTGCCCTTTGTCCTATGAGACCTTAGATGAGCCTTGCCTTTTTGGAGTTGCAACTGTGGCTTGGCTGACAGCCCAGACTTCAGCACTGAAAGCTGGGCCCTTACCAAAAGAAGAGTTCTTTCTGCTGAGCCACAAAGCCTCATCATACCCTGGCTCCGCTGGAGCTAAGCCTTGGTCTAAGGTTTCACCTGGAATCACACTGGGCAGTCTGACTTCTCTGGGGATCCCAGACCCATCACACTCCTGCATTACTTATTTACCCATACATATCATCCTTCCTGTCTACACCATTTCCCTGTTTTCAGGAGCTTCCCAGATTACCCTTTGGAGGGGAAGGGAGTGAGGGGCTATGCCAAGATCCTGCCATAGGTATTCACAATGCCTACAAACCAAGATTTGCTTAATCCAACCTTCCTGCTAAATTCTCCACAAAAGGCAGCAGAAACCAGCAATATCAGATTTATTCAGTTTTATTCTCCAAACACCATTAATTTAATATAGCTCCCATTTTGAACAGAATGGCAGAGCCATTAATTTAACATAGCTCCCATTTGGAACAGAAAAAATAACCAAAGGCAGGGCAGGTAACTGGTAGGGTCACAAAATGACTCAGCAGCAGAGCTGAAGAGAAAACCAGGGTCCCTGACCCCAACCTAGCAGTCGCACCTTTGACCCAAGCTGCTGAGCTAGAGATGTCCCAGTGTGCTCCAGGCTGGACTTCCTGAGAAAGCTCTGGAAAGGGTGCTAAATCAGTGGCATGATGTGTGTTAAGGTGAGTGTTGACAGGCGTGGGCCTGAGGGTAGTGGTGGACAGCAAGACAGAGAGGATGGTGGAGATGATGGCAGGGCTGAAGATAGTAAGATATTTGTGGAGCCTCTAGCACAGGCAAGGCATTCTGTACGCACAGAGATGCCTCAGACCAATCAGTGCCCTTAGGGAGCTCCTGGTAGGGTTTAAGCAAGTTACACAAACCTCCCTGCCTCAACTCTCAGCTCTTTCAGTCCATTCTCCACATACCCACCATAACGAACATTTCAAAACACAGATCTAATAGGGCCACGTCCCTGTTTAAAACCTTTCACCTGCTTCCACTGCCTGAGCCAGGGAAGTCCAGCTCCTCAGCTTGGTCCATGTGATACTCTCAGAATCTGTTCCTCTCCTCTAGCTGTCCTTAGCCTTCCCCCAAATATCCCCTCCCTGCCAGGTCTCCAGCCCATCGATCAGCACATCACACCTAGATATGCTCCCTTGAACAGAGCTGGCCTCCTCCTTATTTACCTGGTAAATACCCAGTCCTCCCTACCAGCTCAAGGGGAGACACCTCCTATCCCTCTCACTCTTATTTATGTATGACCCCAGAGACTGCTGGTTGTTCCCTCATTAAGTACCACACAATCATATTATTTATATAAAAGACATAAAACATTTGTTCAGCACTGGTACCTCAGTGAATAGGGCACCAGCCACATATACCAAGGCTGGTGGGTTTGAGCCCAGCCTGGGCCTGCTAAACAAAAATAACAACTGCAACCAAAAA